CCCTTAGGCTGCCCTGGATTTCTCTGGTCAGCCAGGGAAGCCTCCTGGCCCCTTTCCCCCTTTTGCCTCGCTTGGGGATCGTCTTGCTTTGTGCCCGAAGGATCGTTTCCTTAAGGCACAGCCACCCTTCTTGGGCTCCCATCACTTCAAAACTCCTACACTGCAGTGCGTCCTTGACTAATCGCCTGAGTTCATTGAAATCAGCTTTCCTAAAGTCTAGCACTTTCACCCTGCTAGTTAGCTTACCCACTCGACGTCTTACGGTGAAAGATAGCAGATAACACGCTCCTTGCTTCCCTTCCGCTCTGCAGGACCAAGGACACTGACCCCCACGCTTGGGCGACCGTACACTCAGGTTTGGTCGGGTTGGCGAGAGAGGAAGGAAAGGCCCAGACTGGTACCCCCTGCTCACATGTACTCAGCCCGGCTCCTCAAGAACAGTGCCTGGAGGTGGGGGGCAGGCTGGGCTGAACACCACTCCTCCTGCCTGGAGCAAGGATCAGCCAGAGTGGAGAGGGCTGGGGGAGGGGACCAGGGCCGGGGCTCCAACAGAGAAAGACAGCACAGTGTCACCAGTGAGCTGGGATGGCCACGTGCTAACAGCAGCCTCGTGTCCGGTTGCTGCAGCCGCTGCCGAGGCCTGGACTGTGTGTGGAAGCCCTGGCCAGCTGCTGGGGGGCGGGGAGGCAGTGTGAGAGCTGGCTGAGCCCAGGGGGCACCACAAAGGGGTTTCTCCCAGCTGGGTCCAGCCTCTCCGTGCACAGGATGGGGTCCGGCCATGAACCTCTGCTCTGTCCCATCCTGCCCCGCTACGCAATCAGAGCCCCTGTGAGCCACAGGCTTGGGGTCTGTGCATGTGCTCACATGGACATTCATGCAGGAAGGGAGGTTAGAGGGTGTGTGCATGTGTGTGTTTGTGTGTGCGTGTGTGCGCAAGCGCGCACACACATGCATAGTGCACTCCATTCTGGATTTCCTTAACTGCGTCCTGGATTTGACTACAAATAGTATGGTCACCACACCCAAGAGAGTCCCAGAAGCACAGACCGAGATGTCTGCACTCAGCCGACCTAGTCCGCTCTCCCAAGCGCTAGGACCAAGACACCTCGCCGTGTTGGACGTTTCCACAGAGACCTAGTGAGTGCCCGGAGGAAGCGGCTGCTCCTTACCCCAGTGTCTGCACCTTGCAGCTGGGATGTCTCAGTCCCTCGCACAGCGCCCGCACGCCGCCAGCCCCTAGATCACAGTTACTCCTCAGGTCCACCTCCGTCAGGCTGGGGCTGGTGCTGAGAGCAGCGGCGAGATCCCCACAGCAGGCGGCTGTGAGACGGCAACCCCCCAACCTGGAGGAGAGAGAAGCAGAGTGGAGAGATCAGAGTGTGGTCGGGGCCGGCACAGCTGCTCTGACAGGTAGCTCCTCCCACCAGCCCCCTCCCTGACCAATCAGTATGGACAATGGGACAGAAGTCTCGTCTCCTGCCCTGCCCCACGATCTACCCCTTGGCCAGGGGAAAAAAAGCACTTCCTGCTCAGCCCCAATGTCTGTGCTGCACCTGTGGCCAATCAGCGCTGAGAAGGGCTCAGCCCGAACCCTCCACTCCTGGCCAATGGGGAAAGAGGGGCTGGCAGGACCCAGAGAGCATAGCACAGGGGCTGCTCCCAGCCTCTACATGGAGGGGGATGGAGGATGGCCATAGGCCTCCAGGCTGTCCCACCATGCCCTGCTCCACCATCAGCGTTCCTGGGAGCAACGGGGTTGGGGCTGTGTGTGCGTGTATGTGAGTCCATGTGGGGAGAGCGGTGCAGAGGTACAGGTGTGTGTGTCTATGTCTGAGAAAGTAGGCGTGGGGGTGGCATGTCTGTGTGTGTGCACGTGGTTCCCCCCATCCCATATTTCCACACCACAATCCTGGAGTTTTGTAAAACTAGTATGGTCACTCGACCCAGCAGAGTGCCAGAAGCACAGAGCCAGCTGTGTGCGCTCAGCCGACCTAGTCCACTCTCCCAAGCACTAGGACCAAGACACCTCGCCGTGTTGGACGCTTCCACAGAGAAGGGCCGGGAGGAAGCGGCTGCTCCTTACCGCAGTGTCTGCACCTTGCAGCTGGGATGTCTCAGTCCCCCGCACAGCATCTGCACGCCGCCAACCCCCAGCTCATCGTTATACCTCAGGTCCAGCTCCGTCAGGCTGGGGCTGGTGCTGAGAGCAGCGGCAAGATCCCCACAGCAGGCGTCTGGGAGATTGCACCACCCCAACCTGGAGGAGAGAGAAGCAGAGAGATCAGCGCATGAACGAGGCCGCCGCAGATGCTGTGACAGGCAGCGGCCCCCCCCCCCTTC